GCCACAGATCCCAAGTGCCTCTGTAGAATCAAGTCAGGGTGACTTAGGCACTCAAGATGAGCCAAATGGTCTACCTCTCACGGCAACCTCAGAACCAATCTCTTCACAAATACCGGAAGCACCCCCAATCTCCGGTACGTACTCCAGAAAGAATGGTAAAAAATCCCGACAGACTTATTGAATCCATGTAATTACATGTATGTGAAAGGGATTCAATGTCACCATGTAAAACAGTTAAGTATGCATGTTACAGACATAATATTCGGGTATTTTTTAAACAGATTTCGCCATTTATTTTCACATAAGTACAACCACATAAACACACAGGCTTTAGAAATACTGGGATACAATGGACATAATTTGTGAGACTGTAGAATGGAATCGTTCATGGTTGTAACAAAAGCCATATATTACTGTTAAATTTCACGTTACTATTATAACATTTCACACATACAGGGTCTAAGTGCAAGTATTTCGACAAAAATAACAGGTTGTTGTATTGTTTCAGTACGCATACCGGTGTGATATTTTGTCATGTGTTAAGAAAACCTCAAAATGACTGCTTTACACATAAATGGGTTAATTTCATTGCATTTTTTTCTTTAGTAGGAGAGGAATGTTGTTTACTTCACTAGAAACTAAACTGTATAGCGCCCTCTGTTGATTTAATAAAAAAGTCTCTGGTTGATGGATAAAGTACCCGATGTAGCCGTCCGTGTGTAATTGCCCTCGAGTACACAACACTACCTGATAACTGTTCCGTTGCGTGTCGATGTCCTGCGCTGAGATGATGCAGGTGTATTCCACAGTATATCTCGCAAAAATGGAATAAGCAGCTTCCTTTGCCTCTGCGATGTTTGAGGTTGCAGGATAAGAAAGCCTCGGTGGAATTGGCTTTCCTGGTGATGGTGTCCACATGGATGTTAACAGTGAGATGAGAGTCGAAAATGAACGCAGAAGTACTTTGCTGAATGGATCACTTGTGTGTAGAGTATGGCCATGGAAAAAGCAAGTTACAACTGTACACGAACAAGGCATGGACACTTACCGGTACATGTACAAAATATTTACCTACACAAGACATACTATTACTATGCTACTGATGGGGGTAGAATGACCATTTTGACATGAAAAAAAAATACAAATAGAAAGTCGATTAGAATGCAAAACATGATCGCATGAAAGAATTTTACCGATGTAATTGCCTCTCAAACGAAATGTTAAGTACAGTAGTTTGGGTTCGAATTTTTATTAACGCCTGAAAAACAAAGCAATGCGTAAGGTCGATTCTTCTTACCTTCCTATAGGTACTACAAATCTTGATATACGAGAAGTAGACACATTTCTTTTGAGATGTGGTTTCAAAACTGAAGACTTAGCCATTAACATACTAATACAAAATACTATGGAGATGGTTGTCTTTATAAATTATCACTCAAGAGATCGGAAAGTTGGTGCTGCGATAAGTTTAACTAGTCTCTCATACTTTTAAATGATCTAAACTAAAGATTTTAAACTTGAAGTGCCATCAATAATGAGGAACGCTTTGTCTACTCGATCAAAAAGCGACATCTGAGTAGGATTTTCCTTTAATGCTGAACTAATCAAGAATCTACATAGCATTTCCCAAGCAGTAAGCAGTCATCAACGCAGACGTGTTTAAAGCACAAACTGAATTTTTTATGCATTTGTGACCACACCTGAACATGATATTCTTTGCTATAGATGTTGAGGCTGTTGCAGTGTTATCTTTCTTGCTGGGATATCTGCCTAGGACGTGTGCTGTCTCACTTCTCCTCTTATGTGGCGTTCAGACAGCTTGTCGCTGGTCCCGAGCAAGTAGTGCAGGGACATGTCGGCGCTGTAGCGCGAGGCTGGTACCTTGCGGCCCAGTGTCTCACACAGCGTGCGGGTGAGGTAACTATCGTTACCACAGCAGATACCAACGACCTGAATGCCAAGCTCCATGCAACGCTTGCCAAACTCCTTGATGTCAGAGCGGTTGCACTGCACAGGGTTCATATCTAACGGGAATATTGGGGCGCCTAGATATTGAAGATAAAAAAGTAATACATAAATAATAAGTTAACATTAACAGAATAGAGCAGCGACAGCAACTTTTAAAGTTTGTTTACAACAGTGGTTTCGGCTCTACCATGAACTATTCTGTTAACAGTCGGCATCTGAAATGCTATACACCTTTCTATCAGAAAAAATCTTCTAAAGATATGAATTTTTAACGTTCTTGCAAATTCCTTCAGGCCAGATTTACGAATAACGGTTCCAATTTCTCGTTCCTATTTGGGAGATGGTAGAAAAGTAGAGATTATGTCTAATTCTCCCACTCGGGAATATCTTATATGTCTTTGTGCCTAATTAGTCACACGTTTTGGAATTGTTTGGCAAACATCCAACATAATTTTTCAACCAAAACAACGAAATATTGAGTCCTACTAAAGTGCAATATTTATGGTGCAGCTCAGTTCCTCCAATTAGAAAGTGATACTCTCCAATGCACTGCTTCTTAATTAAAAGAGACATTATTCGTCCCATGTAGTGTGAAGGGCACCAACTGGGAACATTGTTTTTGGTATTTGCATGGACTTTGCTTTGCGAGAAAAACTGATCATATCGGAAGGTGCATTCTAGACCGTTAAGAGTAAATGCCTGCAAAATGTGTATATTACAGAGGATCATTAAATTCTCACGCGGGATAACACAGTCGTTTCCTGAAGTGTTTTTATGTTTTCTGTTGGCCGAGGGGTGTCCCCCGTTTCTAGCCCTCATCATGAGGATTACCGCCCATGAGGTTGGAAATCGTACATAAGCCTCAAGATGAGTAATTCTCGAATATTTTCAAATAAGTGTGAAGCATGATCACCAAACTTGAAATGAGCTGAAACATAGCATTCCTTTTAATTATTTTAAACTGCTGTGAACTTTGCGAATAAAATAAACGACCTAAATTAATTTGTAATTTTTCTAACGCGTATTAAAATCTTAGGTCAGCTTTGCATCTGTGAAAAGGGACAGGTAAAATGACCATTTACAATGGTTATCTTTTTTATCTTCTGTATACACAGACCTAATACACGTATAAATACATCAATAAAAACTTACCAGACAGCGGATCGGTTAAAGATTGGAAGTTTGGTTCCGCTTCAGTTGTACGATATGGAACTGGAATGGCAGCCACTGGTGTCTGGAATAATAGCAATGAAAACACTTAAAACATTACTATAATAAAAGGAGCATTTAGCTCGCGTGTAGGGGTGCTGGGGAACATTATGAAATCTATCTGTGTTTGCTGCACTGACGAATCCAAAGGAAACAGAAGTAGGCCTAGTGGGCATGTGTGAATAAGCAAGCGTTATGAAATTGGCACAGTTTTTGAACTTTCGAGTATGTCCTTGCACCAGTTAAACTCTGGTCTGTAATTGACCCACGGTGATTATATACCTTGATGCATTTCTGGATCTCTTCTATCAGCGGGAGCATGGTTGCTGGACCACGAGCGCAGTTCAGGCCAAGCACGTCAGCACCAGCCGCCTCAAGTCTCTTGAAAGTCTCGCAGATCTCTACTCCGTCAATCGTGGCTGGTCGGCCGTTAACTTCCTTCTTATGCCACGCCAAGTTGACAATGACAGGTAGACCTGAGTCAAAATGACCGTCTTTTGTTTGAGCAAGTCTGAGTTATTATTTTGTTGTCGACATTTCTGTAAGAACGGACTTCATTGAAAAGATGCCTTGGATATGGGAGCAAATACATCAGATTCATTCATACATCTCACCGCATAAGCCAGCTGCTGACAACTTAGTTCTTTCAGCTGTAGTTGGTCACATTCTGGACATTTCGAACTGGTTCAAGCGTGAGATGGCGTGCAGTGGCTTCCGTTTGAAAGCTGTTAAAGCCGAATCATACTTGCCAGGAAAAGCAAACACACTCTCGACTTTGAGACATCAGATCACATTTTTGCTCTGAAAATTTGCCAAAATTCACTTCATTCTGAATCGGGTTAATTTTGTTGAACGTTTCTTGACGTCAAATTAGCCTCACTTTCGCATTCGCCTGAAGTATGAGGCAGCCCTAAAGCCAAGACGTTTATGAATTAGGGTCGTATAAATGTGTTTAATCATAGAACCACAGTTTTCTTTAAGTATACTGGGGCTGCAATTCCGCGTGCACGTGACCCCGCAGGTGCATGAAAAAAAACATTAGCCCCAAGCTGAACCAAAACTGAGAGGGCGCAAGTTCTTTTTAGCAAGGAGAAGCCCCATTGGTCTGCGCTAAACTTCGCTGGTTCACAAACGACTAGGAAAATCAGCACGCGTTACGGTCGCATCGTTACCAACAAAATGAACACTCCCGACCAAAATATGGCTATTTTCAACCAATGAGGGGATGCTTCTGCTCAAGGCAGATATGCTAGGATATCATACCCTCGGGAACGATTTTTGCATGACATTACGCGCACAGGTCGCTTCGATCGTCCCCAGCTTCGTAACGGGGCACTAGGAGGGGCAAGAGAGATATAAACGCTCCTGACGCACAAAGCACTGTGGGTTACTTACTGTCTTGATCCACGCACGTATATTCATTTCGCGGTCGAACAAGCTATGGGGCCTCATTAGCGCCACTTTTAGTATGTGATATATATATTATGTTATGTTTTTACTAACTTGCCGAAACAAGATGATAACTTGCCAAAGTAGGGATAGTAACTTGCCAGAGCAAGATAGTACGTTGTGGCCGCAATTTGTATTAATTTATACTCTATTCATGCGATGCACGGCTACCTGCCCTCATATGTTTTATGCAGCAGAGAACCAGCCTTTTTCATTAATGTGTTTCTTTTCAGATTAGCCATACCGAATAGGAGCTAATAAGGCTCTGTCCGAACTACTTGGCTTCGGCTAGAAATTACGCACAAGTCCATGGTAGTGATGGGAACCAGTTCCCACGAAAGCGGCGTGTAATTTCAAGCCACAGCCACATGATTCGATTCGAACTGGTGGGCAGTGTGTCATATCTTTATTTCGACAAAGCCTAATCGTGGTTGTTCGCGTGTACCCACACACGACCAACCCCAATAATCCTACAGTTTACCTTTGCCGTATTCTTTGACTGCTTCCAATGCTAGCAGTGCTTCACCAAAATCACTGAACGTCTCTGCGAGAATGAAATCAGCGCCTTCCTCAACAGCCCACTCGATCTGATCCTGAATAAAATAAACATAATTCGACAACGGTTCCTCACTTTCAGATGAGAACGTGCATTCAAGGTAACCAAACAGCAAATTAAAGCCAATTGTGACTATTACGGCCCAAATGCAACATATATTCAATTGTGTATACCCCAAACTGCAAAACAATGTGTTAAGCATGTTACGTGTACGTCCATCATTAAATTTTGAGCCATTTCTTTTTGTGGAAACGCATTGTGTGAGGCCATCCTGCTTTGAAAATCATTTGCTTGTCCTTCAAAATAACTTATGTGCTGACATGAGAGCTTTTGATTTGTCTATCCTCCTCACCCCGCTCGCTTTTACATCTGTTTCACTCAGCCTGAAGCTTAAATGGACAGTTACCATGGGCGTCACCAGAAGGGGCATAGCTCTTTCTGGGCGGGGAGGTGGGGCGCTAAGCGAACAACAATATCAGAATGGCAACTCGTCAACCAATGGGCCTTTGTTTTTCCTAGTCTTCCCTTTGGGAGGACTCTCTCGTCACCCCGCAATGCCAACTGTCATCATATCTCTCTGTAGCTTTACAGCTTGTCCAGAGACCACCTTCAACGCCGTACTAGCGATCGCTAAGCGGCATGTTTTGTTTAATTATCTCTTTATTACCTTGAACATATCCCTGATCTTTGCAGAGATGTCCGGATTGTCTGGTTCATATATGTTGCTGTTACAGATGTTTCCGGCCATTAGCGATCCAGTTTGATCCGCTACCTCTCTGGCCATGCGCAGTGCTGTCCGATTCATTTTCTCAAGGTCTCGCTCGCGGTCAATCAGTGATAATTTTTCACGATGAGCATAGTACTTCAAAAACAGAAAATAAATTGATTGATTTTAGAAATAAAGAATTAAGAAAATGACAACAAAAGCTGGGAAGATGATACTCTATAAAAAAGGAATAGTTTTTCCATCGTATTGCAATTGCTTGTCCAGATTTTTGTACTTTTATTTGCACTTGTATGGAAGTAACCAGTTATAGAGAAACAAAGGGATACTTCAGGGTAGTGGCATGGCCCTGGGAGCCCCCCCTTGAAATTCGGAAAGCAGGATAATATTATTAAGAAAATGCTGAAACTTAGGGCCCCCCACTTTAATATCAATTGGAATAATAAAGTACGAATAACTAAAACAAAGACCTCATCATTTGCTATGGAGGCAGGACGATAAAATGTTTAGGGTAGTTCCATTTATTTTAGGGCAGCCTTGTCAGTTAACAATTGCTGTGTCCTTTAATTGATTTGGAGAACCGGTGTGTTAACCAGACCTCTACAATGAAAGGTATGCAGTGGATATCCGACAAAAGTTCCAAAAGCATATTTTGCTTGTCGCTTTGTTCTGATTGGTCCATCTTTATGACGTGACCGTTGTCGTCAATACCCGTCGATAGCTATTTAACCTTTCTGGATATATCGCCGACACTAGTAGAGCTCTTCATCAGGACATACAGTCATTGACACTGATGTCTGACTCACAGTGTATTCTCACATTATGAACTTGATCGTGGAGACGCCTAACGTGGCGCACCACAACGGCAACATTTTGTGTTGAAAAGCCTTCGAATTTCTTTACATGGTGTGCTACAAAAAAATTCAGAAAATCTCAAAGACATTTAAGAATCTCTTTAAAGTCGATCAATTCTGGAAAATCATTGTTCTCTCTCCATACCAAACTTCCAGTACGAAGGAATCTATTCCGTCTTTTTTTTGGGGGGGCGCATTTTCATTTTGCAGGAGAAAAAAAACACGGAAAACGGGGTCAAATTAAACTTCATCAGAACTTTGTAGGAGAAACAGAACCTTGAGATTTGTGCATGGGAATATTGGAGCTTGATCAAATTTCAATGCTTGTGAAAATAACTGAGGTAAAAATATTACTATTACTATACAGGCGAAAAATAAAAGTGTGCACATAGGGGCAACATAGGGGTACATGTACATTAACAAAGGTGGCGTCATAAATATGGACAATCAGAGCAAGGTTAATGGCAGAATCCGCACTGACCAGAATCACCCCCTCATCGGGTGAAAGAGCCATGTTGGTCGGGAATGTTCAATTTGTTTATAGCGATGCTACAGAACGCGTGCAGTTCATACTCGTTCGTGAACCAGCGAAGTTCAGTTCCCACCAAAGGAGGTTATGTTGCTGGGGAAATTGCGCACTGTCTTGATCCAGCTTGGGGCTCATATCATTTTGGAACTTTTGCCGGCGATGGCAACATATCAACTTCGTGAATGTTAACTAACTAATTGATCTCAGTGTGTAATATCATATGAATGCCAGTGGCTCTACCCTGCGTTCCATAGAGCCTGAAAGTTGAACCCTAACGGTATACTTCCTGCATATGGCTGTTCAAAAGTTTGCTTTTGTACTGTTACAATGGCAAAAATGGTCTGAGCATTATTGCATAATTGCATGTTAATATTTTACAGCATATTTTCCAAAATGAAAGTCCAATTTTATTTTTGTACCCAACACTGACGGTTTAAAATTGGACGTCATGTTTTCTGCATTTCTAGTAGCAAAGGCTGATGCGATGATAAAATGTTTAATCTGCTCTCTGGAAAGGAAGTTAAGTGCAAAAACATCTTTGTTGAAAATGTCCATTCAGTTTTCCCGCTGGTAGAAAAGTAGAAAGCATAATCTCCAAGGATATGAAAATAATAAACAAATCAGTGATGGTGATTTTCGTCTTAGCAAGTGATTCAGCTCAACCCAATCACCTATTTGAAATAGTTTCATTTCATCTTCCTCCTTTGCTTGAACACCTGAACTTCAAAGTTCAATCAACACTGATCTTCGACCATAATTCCGAGGTGTCCCTAACACCCAATCATCTACCGTTTTTCGTTGCACAAACTCTCTACTTAAAATCATTGCTTGTTATTACCGTAAAAGCCAAAACCACGTCACTCCCTGCCCTGTAAAACTCTTCGTATTGCTGGCGAACTAGGTGCGGGTATTCCACAACAACCTCTGGTACAAAGGCTCCGGCCTTCAAATAGCCGCGTCGTTCAAAGACGTAAAGATATCCCTCCGCGATCACCACCGTCTCGCCGTCACGTAGGCGTTCCATCAGTCCTACATGTAGACAGACGTAGAGTCAGAAATTGCCACATGGTTTTTTCTGAACATGATTTATATTACTATCAAAGGGAGTATTTCTGCAATTTCTCCGAAAAGGGATTTTGATATTTCGGTTTTATTTCCAATTTTTAGTTTGCAAATTCTTGACGGAAAATTGTTTTATTCGAGCAGAATTTTAGATTCTGAATTCGGCTACAATTTTGTTCAGAATGTTGACGTCATTTGACTTCGCCTTCACCCCCCAAAAAAGTGATTTTTCCGAAGTCTGATTGCAGTCATTTTTCAAATGGCAACCCTCAACTTTCTCGGGCACTTTAGAACCATTTTTCAACCATAATAATATAAAAGCTCAAAGACCCAGGGAGTTGATCCTGGCAATGATTTACACAATCTCACCATTCGGGGGGTCAAACAATCTCCTTTTTCAAAAGATACTGTGGGGCACTTATAATGCTAGTGAGCTGGCCAGAAATTCTCACTTGAATTAGTGGTCTGCACCCTTTCACCCACAGTCATTTGGCAAAAAAGGAGAAATTCCTCCTTTCCCTCAAGATATCTGACATACACCCAGCTCGTTGTCGTCAACCATTTGGATAGAAACGCTTATTTTATCGTGTACACTATATCTGCTGATCAGTGAATGTACATTTATACAAAAAAAAAAGGGAAACGAACTTGATGAATTTACGGCGAAGCTAGTCTCCCTGTTTTATTTTAAATTCAAGAAAAATACCCCACCGCAAACTTTTTAAGAGTGACCAACCCTGCATTTTCCGTGGGGGGGGGTCCAACGGGATAAGAGCTGGCTAGCCCGTTGGTTCTTTTGGTAACTTTTTTTAAATTTTGAAATGTGTTTTTTTTCCTTTGTAGGCCTAAATCATGCTATTGTAAATGACATAAAGTAAATCTCGAAAACTGAACTTCATGAAACTAGACCAGTTGTGTTTGTTATAGCTACAAACACGAGTTGACTAAGCAGTATCAATTTCCAGTTTGATAAAGTTAGAGAAGTGTGGTGTATCTCGGAAACTCTAGTCAGCCTCATCAAGTAGGCATATCATATCTGAAGTATGTGTTTAATCAAACGGAAGCCAAATGAGGAGGAAACGAATCCTGCCAAATTTGTCGCTCTATAACTTTCAGTATGTGGGCATCACTGCTTTGAAACGTCAACAATGATTTCTTTGTTCCTATAACAAGTGGTTTCCTCCACTTTCTTGGAATTATGGCAAACTAGTCTCAAACATAAACCAATACATGTACTCTCGTCTTTGATACCATAAGAGGGCGTCCATTCTTATTATGATGCCAGCAATCCTTGTTTAGTGCTCCACATTCCACTCATGACATTTTCTAATTTTGGAGGGGTGTAGAAACATCCTTTTTCTGTTTTGGTTATACTTCAATATTGCTGCGATTCCTGTCACCCCGAAAGTTCAGATCAAGTAACGTTGCCCCAAAGCACGGTGATCTACCATGTCTCTAAATTTGATCGTGCATTTCTTTTATTCTGAAAATGAATTATGGAAGACGTCATCAGCTTCTAACTTCGCACGTATTGTTGTGTATGGGTCATTGTATCAATAAAATTCCGAGCTCTACAGCAAATGTCGCCACAAACATCAACTGAAAATGCATTTTTGACATTTTCAACCTGTTACGAGAGAGTGCTCGAGTATTTCATGACTTCACGGTCCTGTTTTGAGCAACATATGCTATCTTACTTAAACTACGTCGTTGAAAGCAACATCCTTTCTTTAATCAATTTTAATTACAAAGCAATTCTAGTTTTGCCCCGAAACAAGGGTCAGGTAATTTTACGTACACGAGAAAGAAATGCAGAGCTAAATTTGCTCTATTACTCAATCCAGATATTTCACAAGAGATTCTATGTGGATTTTTAAAGATTAACAATGTTGAGGTTTACGCCTGATGTCGAAGCGACGACACCAAAATACGTAGGCTTACTCTCCACATCAATGTTTATGTTAGGTACAAGGTTTTCACTCCAGTATCCTAAACTGTTCGAAATATATTGACCCATGTCAGTATGTTTATGATTTAATGAACGTTGACCCTTCATTAACCAATTACATTTTTAACCCACAAAAAATTGAAAAGAAATCGAAAGATCAGGGACCAGACAATAATTTAATTTGGGTTTGAGAAATCTCAGGGATGTTGATATGCATGTTATTGGGCCCTGAACAATCCTGAGTTTACACTGCAGACTGTATTAGTGGACTGTACCCATAACGGACCTTTGTAAATTAATCAGGTATGGGAACCAGACGAGTCAAATACATGTAGGTTGGCGCCCTCTACCGCTACTGCTATTCAGAGGTGCTTGCTAACGCAGTCGAACTTTGGAGACAAACAATGTGAGTCAAGATTCAGTCGCCAATTACACTGGAAAGTATATTATCTTGACCTCCAGGGTAACTGGAAGTTTAATGAGGTAAAATATCACTCAAAAACTGAAGTTCTTTTTTACATCATAGGTCGGGGGAGTGGGTTAGCGTAGCGGTTCTTTCCTCGCTTTGCACCAATGAGGCCCATTCGCTTGCAAATGGAATTGCCAAAAAATGCTCATTAACGGAGGGGCTGGGCGCTGACTGGCCTTCGAAGTCTCTCAACATTCTGCCGTACATGAAACACCAATAGAAATACACAGAATCAAAAATGCACGCGCCTCCGCGGACATGGTACGCTTCCGTAAAAGTGCCTTTGCCCGTGAAAAACCACGAA